GGGTGTTGTACCGCTTATTGAGGATGAGGGCTGGGACCCTGGAATGGAACTGCAGAACCAGCTTTTTCCTCCAGCTCCCACGGTTGTCAAAGAGCTAGATACCGCCGAGTCAACGGTTACTGGAGCACCTGTCAACTGCAGCTGGATGTACTTCGACTTCTCAGCATCGTCCTTAAAGTCACTAAAGCACCTCGCAACAACCACACTTCCCCAAGACTCCACCAGCTTCATATCAACCGACGACGCCCTCTCCGCTTTCATCTTCCTCTCCGTTCTACGCGCAAGACAAACACGCCTACCCCCTAACATATCAACGACCTTCGCACGAGCTGTGGATGCCAGACGCTACCTAAACATCCACCCCGACTACCCCGGCATACTCCAAAACATGACATACACCACCTACACACTATCCACCCTCCTCTCCACTCCTCCCGGCCACATCGCCGCCACCATGCGCCAATCCATCGACCCCAAAACCTCAGACCTCGCACGGCGAACACGCTCTCTCGCCACGTTCCTCGCCCAATCACCAGCCAATGCAGCGAAAACTAGTCCGACAGCTACCCTCGATATGAGCGTGGATATTGCGCTTAGCTCGTGGACCAAAGTACCGGCTTATGAGTGGGACTTTGGACTTGGGCTGGGTCCTGCGGTTGCTGTCCGCAGACCGGGCTTTGTGCCTGTAGAGGGACTGATGTATTTGATGCCGAAGAGTAGGGATGGGAGTGTGGCTGTTGCGATGTGTTTGCGAGAGCAGGATTTAGAATGTCTAAGGCGGGATGGGGAGTGGGAGAGGGTGGCTAGGTGTATTGGTTGATAATGTTCTGGGATGCTTGATTAGGATGCGAACAACATGATGGTGTTTTCGGGTTGAGTTGAGGCGGAAAGATTACTAACAGCTCAGCTTATTCGTTAATCGCTATCTAACGTAGATCTTGGTGGTCTTGGGTACACTCGCTAATCTACCTTTGGCACTAGGATACTCAGACGCTCTTGATGGAGTCACGCTTGTACACCGATAAACCTTCGGGGTGCCTGTGGCATACGATAGCGTTCTATCGTTGAAAGTTGCATTACCGCCATAGATTTCGGCGCTCGAATAATGTTATTAGTGATAAAGCCAGCCAACATACACCATTGTATTCGTCCAGCCACATATAAATAAACGCGGGAGACACTTCCGTGACAAGATGCCGTTGGCACATTTGCGGTGCCATACTCTTTCGATTGGAAGACTAGCAAAATTCATGTCGACACGAAACGTCCTTTGGCGATTTGCGTCACGGGTCAGCTCTCATAGAGAGTTCAACTGGTGAGACTTCTACCTCTGCCACACCCTCTGCGAGTTGACAATAGTGGGCAGCTATGATATCCAAGTATAAAACTATCGAGATGGAGCTTGTGTAATGACAGAAGAAAGTGTAAAAAGAGATAGAAGATATGTGAAGTAGCGCGTTCGTGCATATTGATCAACAGCGGCATACAATAAGATGATTGTAGCACCTTGTTTAACGTAAAGAATGAACATTCCGCCCACAGAGGATAGAAGTGAAGACAACTTCAAAGCCTACGTTGCGTTGAGATTTTGCTGAATTCCGGGTTGATAATGATAATGTAGTCTACGAAGCACTTTTTTCAGTTTCTTCCAAAACTGAGGTGGTACATCAGCACGAAAACGAACAATGACCATATCTCACACCAGCAGCAATAACATCTCTCTCCACCCACCCCCTAAACAGCACTCTTCCCCCTCTCCTGCGCCTCCGCCTCCCTCCTCAACCGACTCTTCTCCACCGCCTCCTCAACCTTCGTCTTCCGCCAACTACACTCCTCACTAAAATCACAAATCCGACACTTAAACGCCTCTTCAATCTCCACGCCCTTGGCCTCCCTCCTCCCCTTCCACCAATCCATCTCGCTCTCCACATACCCATCAACAACATTCGCTTCATACACCGTAAGCCGGCTGCCCAACACATCCCCCGTCTTCGCATACCTAAACTCCGCGCGGAGAATGGGCGAGAGGCTGGAAGGAGGGAATGTGGCTTGCATTTCGGTGACGAGCAAGGACCACAGGGCGAGTAGGTTGGGGTAGGAGGCGACGCCGTTTTCGGGGCCGATGTTGCTGATTTCGGAAAGGAAGAGCGGGGTGAACGGGGTGAGGGGGTCGAGGGAGTAGCGCGCGAAGACGGTTTCGGCGTCGACGGTGTTGAGGGAGAGGGATTCGAGGAGTTTGTGGTAGAGCATTAGTTGCATCCAGGTAGGGCGGAGAGACGCGCCGGTCGGGAGAGACTTTGCGGATCTGGTTTTTACGTCTGCGATGTAGATTTGGCGGTCGGAGGGCGGTGTGGAGACTAATGGGTTGGAGGAGGGCGGTTTACTGGCTTTTGCAAAGGCGTCTGTGATGCTGAGTTGGCCTGGTGGTAAGGGGACGATGCCGCCGTTTTTCTCGGCTCGGGTTCGCTCGAGTTCCTCTTCGAATTCGGTATCCGGGCATTCGTATGAGATTTCATCGATTACGCCGTTTATGACTTGGCCTTCGAGCACGCCCCAGACTTCTAGTTCACGCGTAATGCCAGTCTCGCGGAGACACCGCAGGCCGGATATAGCATTCCACATGCGTAGGCCGAATCGGTCTTCTTTACTTTCTACCTGCACTGGCACTGTTGTGTGAACCTGGTCTTCCAGCGTTTGGTGGATCTTGTTACCAGTTTTCATCGCCTGCGTTCGTGGTTTGCGCCCAAACTTGCTCAACGTGTAAAAGTACTGCAGTTCGCACCATGCTGGTGAGACGAGATCAGTTACCGAAAGACACTTCTTGGGCTTCGTTCGGAAACGCTCGATGGGCGGCCGGTTATCGGTTTCGGCAGCCTGTACGGCCTGTGTGGTAGAAGCTGCGCGCGTAGATTGTGATATGCTGCGATCAGAGCGGAATTGCGAGGGTTTCGGGGGAGAGGCTGGTTGTTCGTGAGGAACTAAGCGCTGTTAGTCGTCAGTCATGCCAATGCCACTGCTGCGAGTCTGGATCAACGCACCACTCCACGCCCGTCGCGATCGTTCGTCGTACTCGACTTCCAGCGCCTTGCGCTCTCGCATGGGCGAGCTCTGTATATCCCTCTGTGCATCCGCGTCGACACTGGCCTTGCCCTTTGCAACGCGCAGGACCGTGGGTCTATGGATCTGCACGAAGCCGTCCACATCCTGCTCTTCGTCTTCGAGTTCGCCCTCTTCGAATTCTATGCTGGGGATAACTGCACTCTTCTGGGTTTGCGCAGCGTCTGTTATCGTGTCAAAGGCGTCGGCGAGTATGGTGTCGTCGTCAATGTCAATGTCCGAGCCGTAGTCGCTCAGCGTCGCGATGGACTGGATGTCGATATCTGAGCCATACTCGCTCGCGCGAGTCGTCAGCCGTGTGGACGGTGCAGCCATGATGCCATGATCTGGCCGCGGCGGGTCTGTTGTGTGCGTGGCGACACTTTGACGCGCTTCGACTGTTGGCGCGTTTTCGCGTGTTATCGTGAGGTCATCGGCGGGCGGGCCAATCGAGGGGTTGTCTTTGATCACCATAGTCAAGAAATTTAGAAATATGTGTTACGAGAAGGAGACGGGTGTGTTATCATAATCATAGAGCGTGCACTCTTCACACAGTCGCGAGAAGGATCCAAGAACGCGTTGTGCTTCACAGTTATCTCGTACCTCACATGCGCCACATAATCCGCGTCTTCACAACGCAAAACGCGACAACCGCATAGCCGTGACACCAACTACAAGCATCACATACAATCTACACACACAGATCATAACAACCACACACCCCATCAACCCTGCATAGCCTCAGCAAAACCCCCCGTCTCGAACTTGCCCCCCATCACCTTATCCAGCCCCTCCTTGAAATCCGGCACATCGTCCGCCCTCTCATCAACCCTCGCCCACCTCACAATCCCCTCTGCATCAACCCCAAAATTGCCCGCCGTCTGCCACCGACTCCCACTCTCCGTCGGCCTCACACTAATGCCCTCTTTGCTCAACTTGCTCGTACCAGGTATACTACCTAGCACATGCCACAGACTGGACGTGCCTAAGCCCCACGCGGCATATGCTTCGCGTTCTGCGTCTACCACAATAGTGAGGTTAGGTTGCGTGTTCTTCTCCGGTTCAGGCAACGATGCAAGCCAGCGGTCCGTAGCCGCTCGGTCGCTGTGCGAAACGGCTATGCAATGGATGTCTGGGTGAGCGGGCGCGAGGGCGCGCATGTTTAGGAAGGTTTTTTCTGCGACTGTGGTGGTGTTGGTGAGATTGCATCGTCATGGTTTTTGAATAGTGTACGTACAAGGACATCCGCAGTGTCGGAGGAAGGTGATGATCGTTGGCTTGCCATCTTGTGCTGGTATGGTGAGTTTGGACGTGGAGGGCGCCTTTTGGCCGACGGCTGGGACTTCAGCGGTCTGCACTGTGGGTGGCGACATCCATGACCAGAATTCGGTTTGCCAGGTCATCGTGAAGAGGCATGTGCTGGATGAAGATGCGCAATCGCGCGGCCTTTACGGGAAGACATCGTAGTAGTCTCAGTTGTTAGTGTACCGTTCGCCGAGGTGCTGCGTCGTGTTGGTCGAGTTAGTAGCTGCGATGGGCGTCATGTTGCGGGGTGAGTGCCGCATCACGACTATTCGCGACCAGTCGATGTAGCGCAGTGGCATGAACACCAAAGAGCGGATGAAAGAAGATTTGGCGATACACTGAAAGTAAAGGCAAACATCACAATCATAGATGGAGATAGAATGAAGTAGAAATCTGTTGATTTCGTGGAATATCGCCAGTGACCATCACTGATTAACCTGGATATACTACATGCTCAGCACCGCTCGTGTGCACTCATAAACCGAGTTGAAGACCGTGAACCATGAACCCAAACGCCTAAATATCCGACCCAAAGACCCAATCCATCACCGACCCGAAGAACTTGTCATAGTCGTGTCGATATATCGAAGGTGAGAAGCTTAACCGCGCTCACCACGGAGGCGGCGGGCGAGCTGGATGTCCTTGCTCTGGATGGTGACACGCTTGGCGTGGATGGCGCAGAGGTTGGTGTCCTCGAAGAGCGAGACAAGGTAAGCCTCGACGGACTCCTGAAGAGCACCGATGGCGGAGGACTGGAAGCGGAGATCGGACTTGAAGTCCTGAGCGATCTCACGAACAAGACGCTGGAAGGGCAGCTTGCGGATGAGGAGCTCAGTCGACTTCTGGTAGCGACGGATCTCACGGAGAGCGACGGTACCGGGCTTGTAGCGGTGAGGCTTCTTGACACCACCTGTGCTTGGCGCACTCTTGCGAGCTGCCTTGGAGGCGAGCCTTGAATAGTTGTTAGTATGCTGTGATGCGATGCGAAGGTGAGGTTGGAGTAAGACTTACTGCTTGCGAGGGGCTTTACCGCCTGTAGACTTGCGGGCGGTCTGCTTGGTGCGGGCCATCTTGTTGTTGGTTGTTGAGGATGGAAATGTAGTTGTGTTTGATGGTGGAGATGGTTGTTGTGATGGTGAGTGGAGTTGAGTGGATGAGAGATGGAGGAGGGTGGGCGGGTGCAGCTTATATGGTAAATGGGGGGCGGGCGGCTGCCTGGAAAATCAATCTTTGTTGCGCTCCATTACAGCGCGCACCAGGAACACCAAAGCCATGCTAACTGCGCGCGCTGCAACTTCAAACTTCGTAAGTCCACACCGCGGGGCCGATTCGTCATTGGCTCGCTTGCTGCGCGCCCCGATTGGGAAGGGGCACGGGCGTTGATCTGGAAAGCGCGCCCGTGCGCGGCTTTGATCTGGCGTGGCTGGCGTTGTGATCCGGCGCGCAAGACGACGCGCCCCGCTGCCTCATAAACACGACGCCCGCCGCCCCAACTAATTCCCATCATCACCAAAGCATCCAATCCACTACTACCACACTCTCACTCTACAAACCAATAACACTTCTCCCCAACACAACAACTCCCACATCTATCATCATGACTGGTCGTGAGTACTCCCACCTCCTCCACACTTCGGCGCGCTCAACGCGTCGTCCTTCACCATCAACACTTTACTAACGCGTCTCCCAGGCGGCAAAGGTGGCAAGGGTCTCGGAAAGGGTGGTGCCAAGCGCCACCGCAAGATTCTCCGCGACAACATCCAGGGTATCACCAAGCCCGCTATCCGTCGTCTCGCACGTCGTGGCGGTGTCAAGCGTATCTCAGCCAGTATGTCTCTTCCACTACCTCCCTCACAACCTCGCTAACCCACCCCAGTGATCTACGAGGAGACCCGTGGTGTTCTCAAGACCTTCCTCGAGGGTGTCATCCGTGACGCCGTCACATACACCGAGCACGCCAAGCGCAAGACTGTCACCTCCCTCGACGTTGTCTACGCTCTTAAGCGTCAAGGCCGCACTCTGTACGGTTTCGGTGGTTAAGCGCGCCGTCTTCTTCTCGCTCTTACGGTTTTCAATGTTACGACTTTTGTCCGGCTGGCTTCTTCAGCAGCCTACGGTCGCCTCTTCGGTGCTTGGTGGGATGGTCATGGCCTTGTATAGTATAAGAAGGCTCGGAGTTCACGGTTATATCAGTCGGGTTCTGATTTGCATGGAATGATACCATAATAACTTCATCAACTTGTCTTCTGCTGTGATGTGCGACGCGTCTGCGAACTTTTGGTGAACGCGGTGGTCATTGCTGATTTACTCCACTTCCGCGGTGTGCTGTTCCGCCTTTTGTTCTGCTAGTGTGCATGTGAACTAGTGTCATGTACAGTTTGCCAGACCGACTTTCATCTCGTTCGCCTGCACAATGAACAGGATGTTTCGTGACTCATTGACTGTGCCGTTTGACCGGTCGTAGCATGACTCATAGCTTGCGCTTACTGCCACCTGCGTGAAGACGGCTGTGAAGTTTGGCTGTTGGACGTATGACGTCACCTCTTTCTGCAACCAACGGCCGAACAACGCGAAGGGCTATATGTGAATAATAAATATTCGAAATCTTGTATTCTTGATGTACGCGTGACTGCATTTTTGCTTCCATGTCGCGTTATGCATCTAAAGCGCGTCGTATGGTTGTGAATATACGCGTAGTTTGACTGCTACGGAAAGACGCTTCCGCAGACCTCCAATCCGTAGACTTCCACAATGATGCTCAATCAATCTTAAAATCGCGTGATATGCTTTTATGAGTTGTCTTACTTGATCTGTAGAGTTTGGGGCGATTTGAGCAATATGTGGTTATGTTGTAATTTTTTAAAGATGTTACGTGTTGAGTTCTAAATGCCAAAAACACTGATTGCGATATTCTCCACATTCACAAAGATCAGAACATTAGCACAAATTCGGATGTCATAAAACTGTATAGGAGCATCATGATATGTTATAAGGCTCCACAAAGTACAGGATATCTAGTTTTCGCATCTTTCCGAGCAATGTGGCGGATTGCGCAATACTTCCGGATGGCAGACATGGTCGGTGGAAGCCGCGCCGAACGTGTACGAAAGGCACGCAGGTCCACAGTATGCCACCACGTCACATAAGGGACACGGAACACGCTGAAATCGCTACAATCCTCAATATTGGATATTCGATTCATCTACATGACGCAGGGTACCACACAAGACATAGAGTCGCAACGATGGCCGGTCAAGTTCATCATGATCGTAATCATTAAGGTGGCAATATATGTCCAGAGAGATCCAGGTATCGAGATGCTATCAAAGTCCTATATACAAGAGACACGACAGGCAAGAATCCCCTCACGAGCCTACCAACACAGCCGGTCGCCGCCGTCCAGAAGATGCAAGTAAACCAACCGCAGAGCAAGAGAAGCTCCACAGCCCCGCCCTCATCCCGCAAACCCAGACACCACATCAATCACCTCTCTACTGCCCACTAGGAACCTGATACGGCCCGTACCCCGGCTTAGGAAAGTCCGGACTCCCATCCTCATTCCAGCCAAACCTCTGCGCGCGAATCGACCTCGCACTCCACCCATTCGTCGGATCCTGCATACCATGGTAAACGATCCAGTCCTCGGATCCATCAGGCGACGTCGTAAAAGACGCATGACCAACACCGTACGCCTTCTCGCTAGGGTTCTGGTAGAAAACGGGGTAAGGATGCTTGCGCCAGTCGCTAGGGTTCATCGGGTCGTCGCCAACGAGCTCGAGCTGACCGAGACAGTAGTTGCGGTTGTCTGAGCGGGCGGCGCTGTAGATGAGGAAGTTTTGGCCGGTGGTGGGGTTGGTGAGTTGTTGGGGGCCTTCGTTGGAGGAAAGGCGGTCGTTGATGGAGCGGCCGAAGGGGGTCTTTTCCCAGGCGTACTCCGGGACGGAAATGATTTGGCGTTCGGAGAAGGGGGAGACGGTGGTGGAAGGGTCTGACATCTTGGTTATGCAGAGGTTGGCTGGCCAGCCGTCGTACTTGTGGTACCAGCAAGAGTAAATGTGGTACAGTTGGTCGGCGTGCTGGAAGTAAGTTCCGTCGATGGCGAATTGATCGTATGTCTCGAGTTCGCTATGATAGCGGTACTCGGCGGTCCAGGGGTCTTCGCCTTCGCCGACGACGGTGAACATGCGGTGGTTGACGGCGGGGCAGTTGTACTCGCACCACATCTCCACCTCGGGTGGTGGGGAGTCGAAGTTGGGGTCTGCGGTGAAGATTACCCACCAGCTTCCGTCGATTTGGTGGATCTCGGGCGCCCAGAGATCGGTGGAGTAGGCCTGGTCGGGCTCGGGGACGAAGATGGTCTTGGACTCTGCGGCGTCCCAGGAGGTCAGGGACTTGCTGCGCCAGAGGGTGATGTTGACGTTGTTGGTGTAGGTCATGCAGTAGTAGTCCTCGTGACGGAACATCCAGCTAGATGATGTTCAGACGGATGGTGTCATAATTTGGAAGACTGACTTACGGGTCTGCTCCAGCGTCCACGATCGGGTTCATGAATGTAGTCGAATTGGTCGCGTTGGGCATGGAGTACTGGGACGCGCCCACCGCAGCGAGAGTTGCTGCAATTAGAAGGTTGAACATACTGCCGTCACAATGTCACAGTATACCGGGGAAGGGGAGACGTGGGAGGTGAGTTCAACAATTTACCCGGCTGTTCAAGTACTTATGCGGAGAGGAAGCGGGGTGGTGGGGATCGCAGGGTGCCTAGCAAGTGAAATGGGGAAGATACAGAACCTTTCGGGCTATGCACGATCGTTTTACTGTGGCGGCATAGCGTAACTCTCGTACAGGGAAACAGGTAGCATTTCCCTACAGTAGTCTTGTGATCCTGCATAAGCAAGATCGCGCTGCAACCTTACAGACAGCCAGCTAGAGCCGAAGTGGCAGGGTACCGAAGACTACGCAAATTAAGGCATTGTCCGTGCCTCAAGAAGTCCATACATTTACCATCGTGATCGTGCTGACGCAATACAATCTGGTTGTAGACGAGGCTAGAGTTGTGTTGAGCGCTCAAGGTTCCCCGCGTTAGACCAGCCACGCTTCTTTAGCGTAGCCTCGCGTGGTGCAGGCGCGACCCGAAGACGCCTGCAGAGAGGCTTGGCACATCTTTTGCGAATCACGACTCTCCACCAACCTCTCAACTCGCGCACCATGAACAACTCGCAATTCCGGCGGCTGCTAGTCGAAACACCAAAACCTCAGGATGACGGCAAGGGCAAGTCTCCTGGCGCGGCTACGCCGAGGGCGGTGCTGGGCGCGCGCAAGCACTCCAGCATACCAATGACACCGTAAGCCTTTCCCATAGTGTCTCGCGCAGGACTGATGCTAACAGATACGCAGTCGCCAGGTAGGCAAGGGCTCGATTCAATCAGATTTTGCGCGCCAACTCGCCGAGCGCAACGCGAAGAACAACCCACCAAAGAAGGCTAGGAATGTAGTGCCCAAAGGAACGAGGCTCGCCGCAGGCTACACCGACCGCACGAAAGCTTACACCGACGAGGAAGACAATGAGATCGCCAAACGCGTCAAGAACCTCGAGGAGTCTATGAAGAAGGGCGAGATCGATCGCGAGACGTTCGAGAAGCTCGTGCAAGAGATTACGGGTGGTGATGTCGGGACCACGCATTTAGTAAAGGGCCTGGACAGGAAGCTGCTCGAGAGAGTGAGGCGGGGCGAGGATGTTCTGGGTGGCCTAGACAAGAAAGAAGAAGAAGAAGAAAAAGAGGAGGAGGAGGCTGAAGAGGTGCCAGAGGTGGAAGACGCGTTCGATGAGCTGGCAGAGGCGGATGTCGGCCCCATTACACGCGAGAAGACTGAGAAGAAGGGCGAGAAGATGACTGGGCCGCGTCCTGTCGCTGGCGTCAAGAGAAGTCGCAACGACATCCTGAAAGACCTCAAGAGGCAACGGGAAGAGGCAGCAGCCGCCGCGGCGGCCGAGCACGAGAAGAGGTTTCCAACCCTGGGACCGGGTTTCCGCAAGATCAACGCTCAGGGGGACACACGCATCGAGACAGATGAGAAGGGTCGTGAGGTGCTGATCATCACTGGTCCAGATGGCAAGGAGAAGAGAAAGGTCAAGAAGCAGAAGGTCGAGGAGCCAACGCCCGAAGTGCGTCACGATCTGGACGATGTGAACAAGCCGATCAATATGCATAACCTCCCTGAGCCGAAGAAGGAAGAGTCAGAAGACGAGGACATATTCGCAGGAGTCGGGTCGAACTACAACCCGCTCGCGAACTTCGACGACTCAGACGACGAATCGGATGAAGAGACAGCGAAGCCAGAGCCTACTGCACCTAAGCTCGATGCCGCGGGTTCACAATCAGAAGGGGAGGTATCCTCTCCCGAAGTAGAAGAAGACGCGCCCGCAAAACCCACAGACACCGCGCCCGCAGCACCCGCAAAACGAGACTACTTCGCAACCACAGCCCGCTCGACCTCCACAGCAGAACCCTCAGACCTCTCCGCCGCCGACGCCACCGTCCGCGCCGCCCTCGCCAAAGTCCGGAACCTGGACGAAAACTCCACACTCCTCCAAAACCTCGGTTCCACCGACCCCAACGACCCCGCATCGAAAGAAGCGCGTCTCAAGAAACGTGCTGCGGAATTGGCGGCTTCAGATCGCGATATGGAAGACATGGACATGGGTTTCGGAGCATCGCGATTCGATGACGCAGAGGAGATGGAGCGGGAAGGCGAGAAAGTCAAGTTCAGTCAGTGGAAGGGATTGGGTGCTGAAGGCGATGATGAGGATGGTGAGGACGGGGGTAAAGGACCGAAGAAGGTGAGGAAGCGGGGTGGGAAGAAGAGGAAGGGGGATAAGAATAATGCGGATGATGTGTTGAATGTTATGGAGAGGCAGAAGGAGAAGAAGGAGAAGACTAAGACGCTTGGTTGAGGGAATAGTTTGATAGGATATGTGGTATTAGCTTCATGAGATGGGGATTATGAGTTCAAGCACCAGATGGGATGATGTAGTCTCTCTC